GTTTTATTTAATATTCATCAGGAAATATCCTCTCTAATAATGATTCTCCTTAAAATGAATGACCTATATACTTATAACCTTTCTCTTACACTGTTCTATTATCTGTTTTTATTCTATGCACTATTGCCTTTATCTAATATGGAGTATGAACCTTTGGAATATAACCACCTATTATGGGAAGTATGCTCCATGTAAAAATAAGATCACTTTGAACTAAGAAAGGGACTGAACACGAGTGTGGAACGCATCTTTCCGAAAAATTTAAATGCGCGAGTGCAAGTGAAATGGAATGCACGCATGTACAAAGATGGCTGCAGGAACGGGAAGTGATGCTAGGTACCCTCGCGAGCCTCAGTAGGATGGCCGCGAGGGTTCAAAATACAGTTCCAACAATTTAGAAGTATGGAGGTGGAGCTTAGCACCGAAAATGGTGTGAAAATACAATTTAAAAGCAGGACCTCCATACAGCAATCCATGGCACCTGATGAAGACACAGGACAAGTGTTGAAACGTGTTGTGCTTGCTGTACATCTGTGAATACCAATTACCTTAATGTAAGTTTTTTACATTTGTTTGAAATAAATGTTATTTACTTTAAACTTAACTGGTTTTGCATTTCCTGTGTTTCATCACTGAGGACCAAGTTATTCCTAATACTCCAGTGGAAGCTCCAATATCACACCAAAGCTGAATTACCTGAGCCAGTTATAAAGACAGGCTCAGAAAAATATGAGTGTGATAACTATTGGATTTATACTGTGATTTCTTTATATATTACAAATACCATATTGCCCTTTAAGAGTGTTTGTTTTATCCCTGCAGTGATACCTACCACAGAATACTGAGTATAAACACTTTTTCATATATACACCTTTGGGCTACCGTGATGCACTTAATGGATAAGGATATGGTCTTCTAATATATTCCATATTGATCTATGCGCTGTACACTATTCTGTATTGTTTGCTTTTAACTATTGCTGGGGTCCACGTGATTTATCCCACAGTGTATTTCAGCTGCAATTTTAGTTATCAGCACCATTTTATTACACATCTATATAATAGATAGAAGTAGATGCTGGAAGTTTGGGATCAATAAAGAGCCCATTGATGATAAAAAAAGTCCATTTAATGCCTGTTAACTCACACCTTAAATGTATGTAAATTCACTTTAGGTCACAGTGATTTCAGCCTCCGCCATGGGAAAAATAAAACCAGCAACTCAGGACATTGGTCCCCACTCAAAGTAGGTGTTCCAAGCCTCCAGTCCATTGTAATATTTACGTAAATTGTGCTGACATATAATAGTACAGGTTTGGGAAAGCTGTGAATATCCTTCTTTTCTGGTGATATTAAGAAGGACAGGTTGGAGATTTTCAGTATCAGGTTTCACTATTAGAAAAAGGAGTATTCTGAGCAGATATTAAACCTTTGAAAGTATAGTCATCTTTGGAATAAAGACATGGCCTGCTAATGGGGTATGGCATCCAATCTAATAAATATTTGTGCTTACCTGTTTTATGACTGAAGGATAATTAACGTCATACATTGTGTTTCTTACTTCAGATATCTAATCAAGGCTGGTTTCCACCTGAACTCAAATTATCACAAATGAACATGCAAAGGTAATGACATGCTGAAGACATCTTACTTTGATGTATTCAGCTTATATTCAGAAATCTTTATGTACCTAAAATACGATTTGGAAGAGCAATTATAGGATTGTTGTTGTCAGCAAAATGTCATCCGCTAAAGAACTGGCTTTGTAGACAGTGTTACTTAATAAAACAGCTGTAACATCTAGAACCTCTCTAATAAACTGAGCCTCCCTCTCTGTTTTCAGCTAGCATTACATTGCAGGGCTTAGCTCAGACGAATTAATAGGATGTCTGTGCTGGAGCTTCTCTCTCTCCTTGAGGCTGTGACTGGTGCCAGGCGGACTCCAGGTACGTTGAGAAACCATTATCAAACTATAGCGCACTGTAGAATTCCTTTAAAGAAATATATATCTAGGAGGTGACAAGAAAGGTTGTCTACTAGAAGAAAACATAACCAAGAACTAGTCAGTGCTAATGCATAGTAATCTTGGCACATGGTACTCAATCTTGTCTGACAATAGATATGGTTCCCATTTAGATTGCCATCCATAGCATATCATTAGAAAAGCTATAAGCTTGATACCAAGAACATAAACAACCAAAAATAGAACCAAATATTTAAATTCCACCTTGCTGACCTTGAGCCATCATCTCTAATCTCCAGGGAATATTACCTGAAACACTGTCATGAAACCAGTTAAAAATGACATTCACAAGCAAATAAGTAATTTGTGGTTATACATGTGTAAATAGCTTTGGTATAATGTGGTTTCTGAATATTTTTACAGTATAGGTGACTGTATAATGTGTGGATATGATTAGAGCACTAACGCTTCATGTGAGCAGCTGTTACTTTGATGCCTGAAGTCAAAGGTATGTGCTACAAACTGTCTGTCAATCAGGTACTGGGAGCATTAACACATTCCCTCTGTGACAGACATGTGGCTACTCTCTCTGTGATTGGCATTCTGGTACACAGTTGTTGTGTATGGACTTTTACACCTCCTCTCCATTCTCGGTGTCACATTTTCTCCGTTCTATCCTTATGTCATCATTAAACCAACCTCTCACATCTCCACATCACCTTATATTTCTAAGTATCTGCCAGGATCCTATCCTGACAACCGATATATTGTTTTATTACTGCAATACCCGTTTCTAGTCACTAGTCACCTCAGTCACTCTCACCTGCATAGCATGATAATCCAAATTTGCTACAAAAGGCTACACCCAACTCATCGCGTGCCCTTTACATGGTGTTACATTGTGTTCTGAACCTGACAAGTCTTCTGCTCCTGGCTCTTTCTAAAAAAAAAAACCTGTTCCACCCTTACTTACCTTCAACGATCCTGATTTATTCCAACCTTATCTCCAAAACAAACCAACTTTATTTCTTTACTGGACTTTGTTTTCATATTGATGTGGTTCCAACCTACCTGGATATTACAGACTTTCTTATTATTTGCAAGTTTCCTCAAAGACCCTGAAACTGCAGTTCTGATTATAAACCAAAGAGGCTGATCACCTCAATTGCTACTTTAACCTGTTTTACATTATCCTTTATGTTCCTGTTCAGTTTTATTTGATTATATACCTGTTACCCGATAACCCGCTTAGAGCCTAAATATTGCCTAAACCTTCTCTTCTGTTCCTTCTATTAACTCAAACCTATAATTTCTCTTATAGGCTTTCCTGTTTCTTTATATCCTGTTCTGGGGCATATTGCCTAAATCCTGTTTTCCCTCAAGATTCGTACCTATAATTTATCTTCTTTCTCCTACCTATCACTTATTTTATAGGTGTACCAATTTTTATCTTTGGGCTTATTGTCTAAACACTTTTATTTCATAGCCTAGTTATTCATACCAGTAATCTCAATTATTTGGTTCTGGGTTTTCTCTCTCTCTCTCAATGGGATGCAGCATGGAACTCTATCATGTCAAAACATTCTGTCTGGAAGTCTCTAACAGACTGTATGGAGGTAAGGTAACAAAGAACAATTTGTTTGATATAACCTTTTGATCACTCAAGCAGGATCTCTTTACACCATGTTTCACACCAGCCTAGGTATAGGGCTACTGGATTCAGTGAATCACCAATAGTCTTGCCAGTTTGCCTTATTTTATTGTCAAGAAGTCTGTAAACTTGCAAGTCTTGTATATAAACTGAAAACTAGCTTAGTTATAATGGAAGTACATATTCTGTCATTTCCTATGGAGATATATAAAGGGTGGTCAGAGAGAATTGTGTAACTTATTAGCTATTCAGTGATTAAAACTCTCATTGTAATGCAGTGAAATTATTTTCAATGGATAAGTTATTAAGATATGTTATAATGTCCTTTAAATCCTACCATTATCAATAACATTATTCAGAAAATATAGGTTCCCTTCATGTGACTTCACAACTCTAACCCCTCTAATATTTCTTCACTGATTCATAGGTATGCCTCCTCTCGGTCTCTCCGCGCTACTGGTGACCTTCTACTGTCTGTTGCTCGCATCCTTACTACAAATTCACGCCTGCAAGACTTTTCATGGGTGGCTCCTTTCCTTTGGAAAAGCCTGCCTACCCCTGTCAGACTATCCTCTAGTCTTCAATCCTTTTTAGAACTCCCTCAAAACCCATATTTTCAGGAATGCTTATGGCCTCTAAGAGTAACTTCTATCTCTCAAACCTTCCTCTCACCTCCAGTTCTGCTACTTTCCCACCATGTCTATTTGCTTTCCCTCTCTCAATACCCTTCCTATTGTGTTTTTATACCCCTCCTCATCTAGACTATAAGCTCATTTGAGGAAGGTCCTCAACTACCTATTGTTCCTGTTACATTTTGTTATTGTCTCATTTGGTAAATTCCCCTTTTATTGTAACGTGCTGCAGAATAAGCTTGCACTATATAAATACCAATAATATTAATAATAATAAAAATAACCCATTGGAGCAAAAGCTGTTGTGAACCAAATTGTACTTATACATGGTTTTGTAGCAAATTAATATATACCATGTTGTTTATCACTGAAGACTGTGATATCATTTCAGCAAAGTAATTTAGTACTTGATTTAACTTTTGCTGTAAAAAAAACAAAAACAAAGTTAATTATGTATTTTTTTACTCCTGCACAATAAAAATAAATAAATAAAAATAATAAAGAAACTTATATTTTCTTTGGTGAACAAGTTGTACATAATGTCTTGTTTTATGTTTATTTATATTGCAAAAGAATAAACTAAAATTGTAAATACAAAAGATATTGGGGATTTTATTGATGACCGTTCCAATTTTTAAATACATATTTGAAGCCCTCATTACACATTGGGGATCGTCAGAAGAAGGCATCCACTTTTGCTACAGTTCTGGTTTGTAAGAAGTTGAAGCTTCATCCATGCGTGCAGCAGTATGCAAAGGAAATTGTAGTTCCCAGTGGCAATATCCAGCGCAGATATACTTTTCAAGAAACTTCGGTTTAAGTGCAATTACCCCCTCCTGATCAAAGGGATTGCTCCAACATTTTAATGTGGCTTAAAAAAAAATCAGATTGTCTATGAAAAACCATGGATAGAAAACAGATACATGTAGGGGGTTGTGGCTACAGTAATTGAGTCTTTCTTGGTGTCCCCACATTCATATAGTATACGTTAACTTAAATTAGCTTAATTTTAAGTTCATTATATCATCTCATCAGACCTATAACAAATTCACATTGGTCAATACCACATATAGAAAGTTCAGAACTTGTTTTTTTTAATGTTGATGTTCTCTAACAATTTAACAGTTCGATGTAGCAACGTAGACACAAT